ATTAATAATAGACGGTCTAAGTTCCATGTAGGTGCTCGCAGGGAGGTTTGTATGGTTTCCTCTAGGCCAGGAGTTCTCAACTGGTGGGTTGAGACCTCTTTGGGAGTTGAATGATGCTTTCACAGGGGTCACCCGAGAGCAGCAGAAAACACAGATGTTTACATTGTGACTCACAACAGTAGCAAAGTTACAGTCATGAGGTAGCAATGGAAATAATGTTATGGTTGGGGGTCACCACAGCGTGAGGAACTGCATTAAAGGGCTGCAGTGTTAGGAAGGGTGAGCATCACTGTTCTAGGCAGTAGGGACACTGTCTTTAGTCTGCCTATGCAGCAGTGGTGACAGCAGTGTGTCTCTCTGCACACTCTGAGTGACCCAGGGAAGGAGGTTGCCTGGGCTTGTAGGTACGGTACTTTCAGCACTGTCCTCTTCACTCATCTGGAGACTCCCATCGGGCTATGATCTCTTTGAAGGCCAAATGGCAGGAAGCGCAGAACTGTGAAAGCTCAGCCCAGAACCACAATAGCTATTCACAAACCGAGGAAACTGCTGCTCCTCCCCAGGCCAGCACAAGGGTGGGGTGGGAGAGGAAGCAGGCAGTGAGCCTCTAGGCAAGATCTGCAGATAGTGGTATCAGAACCAGCCAGGAACCTTGTTTTTGTGCACAGTCAGCACTTTATCCCTTCTAGAGCATTTTCGCAGAATATGCTAACTCATCTGGGTTCCTCAAGCCTGGAGTCAGCCAGGGTAGGGATGATAAAACAAAGACTCCAAGAGCCAACATTACTAAATGCTCACTTACGTACTGCTAGAGTACCTACCAACCCGACTGCTTTATTCTTTATTCTCAAAACCTTGTGAGGCAAATGAATGCCCCTCATGATCTCCACTCCAAAGATGAAGTACCGCTTGAACTTAAACTGCCAGGACCTAGAAGAGTTTGACACTGAAGCCTTAACTCTTTATTTCTGCATCTACATCTGATTTATTAATTCCCTTACGGTCTTGAGCTGGAGGTTGAGGGTGGGGGAGAGAAAGTAGCCACAGAGCTTTGAAACCAAGTCCTGGTCCAAGTATTCAGCATTCCACAGCCAAGTGCATCCATCACATTGGCCCGGGAGGATGTGAGAAAAGGGGAAAGATAAGAAAAGAAACACTGCATCCTCAAAGAATGAGTTTAGGGTTATTATGTGTGTTTAATGAAGAGTGATAGCTGTAGTTCAAATATGTCTTCCCTGACCTTTGCCTTGATGAACAGGTGTTATATACCAGAGAATGTGGAGGCTGAGTATGTGCACATATGAATGTGTACGCTCTTGCTATTTTTCTCCAACGTTTGAGCGAGTCATTGGGTTTTAACCTTTGTGTGTTTCAGCTAGACATCTGCAAAATAAAGATGGTGATGGCGGCAATGGTGATGTTGATAAGATATGGTGTCTTGTTTAATGGTTATGGGTTCACCCCAAAAATAAGTAAATATAAATATATATACATATATATATATAATTGCATTATGATGTTTCTGATGGTCACATAAAGAAGCAGAGTCCATTGCCCTATTTCTTGAATCTGGGCTGGTTTATAGCTTGTTTTAACCTCCAAATGTGGCCCAAATGAGCACCGGGTGACTCTAGAGTCTATCCTTCTAGAATCCTGCAGCCTTTACCTTTGGCCTTTATGAAGCTGGACTAACTTCCCATCATGAAAGGGAAGCTGGTATTGTTCACTAGAGGATGAGGGGTCATGAGGTGAGCCTAGATGGCCAGCTTATAGCCAGTGCTGAATGCCAGTCATACAAATGAGCCGAGTGTTGATCTTAGTTCTGCTGACCGCCCATGCTGAACGCAGCTGCAACAGTGAGCCCCAGAAGAACCAGCAGAGGAACCAAGTACCGACCAACCCACTGCAGTCCACTCCAGACCAGCACACCAGTCTACACCACCAACCCACTGCAGTCCACTCCACACCAGCACACCAGTCTACACTACCAACCCACTGCAGTCCACTCCACACCAGCACACCAGTCTACACCACAAACCCCACTGCAGTTCACTCCACACCAGCGCATCACAGTCTACACCACCAACCCCCTGCAGACCAGCACACCAGTCTACACCACCAACCCCCTGCAGTCCACAGCACACCAGAACACCACAGTCTACACCACCAACCCCCTGCAGTCCACTCCAGACCAGAACACCACAGTCTACACCACCAACCCCCTGCAGTCCACTCCAGACCAGAACACACCAGTCTACACCACCAACCCCCTGCAGTCCATTCCACACCAGCGTACCACAGTCTACACCACCAACCCACTGCAGTCCACTCCACACCAGCGCACCCCAGCCCACCGTCTCCCACTTCATTCTGTGGCGTTACCCTCACCTCCATTCTATTTCGTTCCAGTCTATCCCACTCCCAACCTTCCCTTTCTTCCCCCCAAACTGGTGAACCTTTGTTCAGGTGATTTTGGTTGAATACATCCAGCCACAAAACTTAGTCTTCACTCAAAAACAGCTGCCCCAATACAACTCAGTTAAGAATCTCAGTCCAAAATCTTCACAAACAAGATGCTGTGTGACAAACAAAAACAGCTAAGAGAGACTTAGACACTATTTCCAACATCTGAACTATTTTACTCTTATATTCTTCTGATGCTCATTGTCAAAATTACTCTCAAGAGATACGAATTTTGAATTGTAAGTGACTTGTGTTACTTTTTGAAGTCTCAAACTCCAGCAGTTTATAATGAACGTGCGTAAAATAACCATTCCCGTAAGTTATTTGGTTAGAAGGGTGGCTAGATTAAAGTTCAGAATTCTGAAAGCTGCTCTCAGAGAAACTGCCTTTGGAGAAAGTGTGGTTTTTTTCACTCTCACTTTCCAGGGCAGAGTCAATGTTTTTGCCTGAACTTCAAGAAAGCCAGAGGTGAGATACTGGCCATGTTAAGTGCCTCATCTGGGAATGCATACAAATACCACAGCTGGTTTCATTCCAGAAATGAGACCCCCAACCAGCCAACCAGACAAACAAAAGCAAACTCCCAACTCAAAATAAAACAAACAACAACAAAAATCCTTACCATTGCATCTGCTATGATCTAAGGCTACAAATACTGTTGTGTGTGTGTGTGGGGGGGTTGAGCCTGTGAGCTCCGTCATATAGGGTTAGATCGACCCAACCAGTGGTATGTCTGCAACAGCTCAGTTGCTAATAGTTCTGAATATACTTTTGCAGAGCCTAGCCAACTCTTGCTTCATAATGTCAGACCTGGGAAGAATGAGAGACTATCCTTTTTTAATGCTAAAAGACCACCTTCTAGTATTCAAGTAGATAGGTTTCTGTGGTAATCTTTATTCAATGTGTCTTATTTGATACACTCATTTTTTCCTGTACTGTTATAGATAATTAAGTTCAAACATGAATGAAATGCTCTACTAAGTTAATAATAGGATATGAGTTTTTGCTGGGCATATGCAGTCAAAATGAGTATCATTTTCAAAAGTAAGTGGCAAATATCTCACTCACATTAGTGGGTGAAATGGCAGGAGTCAAGGTAGGAGTGAGCAGCCTTAACTGTGCCCCTCTTTCTCTGTCTTAAACCCTAAGTGGAGGGATGGGAGAGGCACAGCTGACCTTTAAAGGCAGATTTAGAGTTTGCGCTTCTTGGGATAGATTTTTATATTAATGGGTAGAAATCAAGGACCATGCTTGAAAGTGTTTCCAAAACAAAACAAAACAAAAACAAAAACAAAACCAAAAACCAACCGGGCCTTTTTATAGGCAAGGAAAGAAGTAGGTTAGAGGGAAGATTTATGGTAATGGAAAAGTGGAACCAAAAATAAAGTCCCAGGAGTTGTTCAATGTCCTCACTATATTTGTTTTGTAATCAATAATGATATATGTGCCCCGTGTCTGGAGACCATATGCAATATTAGGCTCAATACAATGCAAAAGCGATGAGAGATCCAATTGGGTGGATGTCATTGGGCTTTTGTATTCTTTGAATTATTTGGGTTGCCTATTAGGAAAGAGTGACACTCTCAAGCAAAGCGTAGACTTTTTCTTTGTTTTTGCTTTGGATTAATGCAGGGCTTCCCCCATCCATGCTCTCTGGTGCTCTACCATCAAGACATGCCTGTGTTCTCCAAACGAGCTCTTCTCACCTGCTCTAATTACACCATCATTATGGTTCAAACCACCGAGAGGAAAGCAAAGCCAAAGAAATGAACGCTCAAAACAGAGGGAGTGTTTGGGTAACACCCACAATCTGCCCCATACTGCTCTTCATTCACTTGATTCATTTGTCACCGTGGGGACTGCCAAGATCATAGGTAGGTGACACACAGGGGATGGTGATGAAGGTGTCATGACTTCCTCTTATCTTTTTTTTGTTTTGTTTTGTTTTTTTGGTTTTTTGAGACAGGGTTTCTCTGTGGCTTTGGAGGCTGTCTTGGAACTCACTTTGTAGACCAGGCTGGCCTCTAACTCACAGAGATCCACCTGCTTCTGCCTCCTGAGTGCTGGGATTAAAGGCATGCGCCACCAACGCCCGGCTAAGATATCTTTTCTTTTCTTTTTTTTTTTTATTTTCGAGGCAGGGTTTCTCCTCCTTTTATCTTTATCTACCAATCAATTACAGTGATTCTGGATTTGCCACTGCTCTGTGATTCTTGCCCCTTAGAGCACAAATGGCTTGGAACTGCAAAGTGCTGGCTTCGGCATCTACTTGTTTTCGGCTATGTTTAAGACCATGGATCCTGACTCTGGTTCATAAGATGCCAATCTACAAGAGTACTGGTACAGCATGGCAAGCCCGGTTATCTCTATCTCATCAAGATGCAGAGATTTCAAAGGTTTCCTCATCATGCCAAATCTGTTCATGCATAATTTGCAGTTTAGAAACAAACTGACTGATTTCTTAGTGCCCAGGGCACTTTGAACAGGAAAGGGATTCCTGTGACCATTCATGACCTTACCGCCCCCTCTCCTTTTACCTCTGTGGTGGTGCTGAGGAGAGGTGGAGTAGTCCAAGGACTCCAGGATGTGTCCGTAGTTCCAGCTGTGTGCATAGTTCCAGCTGTGTGCAGACTTGGGAGATCTCTCTTGCTGCTGCTTTGACTGTAGGTCCCTGCAGTGTTCCGGAGGAATGCCTCAGTGCTGTTCCTAATGTGTTCTGAGCTATATGGAATGGTATTAAAAGTAGTGGGGATCTGTGGAGCAGCCGAGTTTCTAGCAATCCGAACTGAGACTTCTGTCCCCAGGACAGCTGAGGGGAAGAAAGGACAGTGGAAAAAATCATTCTCACATTTTATGAATTTTATGTGAATTCTTCACATAAAGTGGTTTTGCTTTGAGATAGGCTATCATATGGTTCAGCTTGATCTTGAGCTTGCTATATAGCCAGAGGACTTTGAACTCCTCATCATCTTGCCTCTGCTTTCTAAGTGTGGATCTTTTCAATCATTATGGTGTAAATATTAGAATCTCATTCTAGTTCTTTGAAATATTCAGTGCTATTTACTACTGACTGTCAATCCGCACATCAGAATGTCTTGTTCCTGTGTCTAACCATAACATACTATCTCCTGATGCTATGTTATGTGAGTCTCTAATCACGAGACTGTTGTCTTTTCTTTTCCTTTCTTTTCTTTCTTTTTCCCCTTCTTTTTAAAGACACGTTTTCTGTGTAGCTCAGGCTGTCCTAGACTGACTCTGTAGACCAGGCTGGCCTCAAACTCAGAGATCTGCCTGCCTCTGTCTCTTGAGTACTGAAATTAAAGGCATGCACTGCCCAGCAAGGCTGTTGTATTTTTTAAGTTAGATATATTTTGAAAGAGCAGTTGGTGATTTAGGATATATGAGCAGGTGGGATGACTTTTCATATTGAAAAACAGACAAACATTGGTTCACCTCACCATAATAAAAACCTGCCTTTAACTTTTTTGACAAGCTCCCAGGTGATGCTGCTGATGGCCTTTGTGTAACAATACTCTAAGACAAAGTCACTCGAAATAAAGGGCTGGAAAATTCTGCAAATAACTGGTTGATATGTGTGTCTGGATGTTTCACCCCACAAAATCCTGTCAAAATCAGGTAACTAACTTTGAAGAGTGTGGGCTTTAAGACTCAGAGCTACTGCTTTACTTCTCATTATTTATTTAATTATATTTAGTAAAACAGCTGCGTTTTAGGCAACTGCTATATGCCAAGTATCCCCTCATAAAGAAGGAATTCATTACACTTTCCATTCAACTTTACTTATCCCTCTTTCGAGTCTCATTCCCTATCATTCTAATTTTACCCAACTAGCACATTTCTTATGGCAATGTATGTAAATAAGAGGGGCTACAGGACAAAAAAGTTCATGACAGAAAAGGTCCATTTATGGCTTAACACAATATAAATACATAATCTGGAAAAAGTTAAAAAAGTAACCATGGTGATTAGGCATTCTTTCCTTAAGATGCAAAGGGCAGTGCAGAGGATTTTGTACATAGATAGGTTTGGACAGATTCGGCAAACAGAAGTATCGACACCAGTTAAACTCGAAGTTCAGGTAATAATGTTTCAGTATAACTGAGTATGTTTATATAGTGCTAGTAAGCAACTGAAGAATTATATTACATACCATATACTTACTATTTATCTTAACATACTTCAAATCTATCTAGATTCAAATGTAAGTGGGTATTCATGTGTATTGTCTGTAACTTTCCTTACATATCTGCCCAATCTACACTTTGATAGTTTCATACTTTGATAGCTTTCTGGACGCTTCTTTCTCTATGTGTCATTGTTTTCCCTTTCACATCATTTAACACTGTCACTGCCTGTGTGCCACAGTTATACACTTTGCACACAGACGAGAGGTTTATCTCAAGGTTCTTTTTATCTCACACCAAACTCATCCATGATTCTACCAAAGACTTCTGCACATTTGTCTTAAGAAACAGCCTTAGTTTCTCAGTCTTGAGTCCAGAGTATAGAGTTTAGATATTTCCTTCAAAAAGCATCCATCAGTGTAGGGATGCAAAGCGTATGGAAGTCAGCATCTCTGTTGCTCTCAGCTTTGCCCAAAGCTGATTCTGTAAGTGAAGGACCACCTAATACAGTTTTAGCTCCCAGGCCCTTTTGAAAAAGTAATGATGGGGTTAGTGTCATAATTTAAGAAAAGTGGTGCACGAAAGAAAGATGCTATGCGACAGGGTTCAAGCAGAGGTTTATTATTATTATTATTATTATTATTATTATTTTTAGGGAAAGAATCATAAAAGGGGAAAGGGGGGACCAGTCTCTGGAGACAGGAGCAGCAGGAGAGAGGAGAAAGTAAAGAGGGGGAGAGAGTGAAAAGAAGGGGTGAGAGAAAGGGAGAGAGGGGAACAGACAGAGAGAGGGAGAGAAAGAAAGAGTGAGAAGGATGGGAGGTGGGCAGGGCCCTTTTAAAAGGGAACATAGTGAATGTGCACAGGTTGTGCTCTTAGTGGCTGAAGCTAAGGGTGTATCCTGTCAGAACCCCAAGGACAGGCCAGTACAGATGCCTGACTACTATGTTAGAACCCAAATCAATCTTAGTATGCATTTGCATTCTTTGTGTGCCAGGCTGTGCTTCCTTCACCAAAAAAAGGCTGGTAAGCTTTTATTATAAGAACTTAAATAAAAATTAGTCAACACATATAATCACTGGATGACACTGGACTCTCTAGATAAACGATCAAACATTCTGGAGATTTGTTCTGCAACCCACTGCAGATGTTACAGTCACATACAGCATTTGGTTGTGGGATATTAGTTGAAGATGTGTTACATTTGTATATGCTGTGGAACATTTGTTTAATGATGCAAAGCTGTGCCGCATTCTCTTTTATGTTGCATTTGTTTAATTCTGTAAAGCTGTGTTTCTTTGCCTGTCTAAAACACCTGATTGGTCTAAGAAAGAGTTGAATGGTCAATAGTGAGGCAGGAGAAAAGATGGGTAGGGTTGGCTGGCAGAAAGCATAGATAGGAGGAGAAACTTAGGCTCAAGAAAAAGAAGAATGAGAAGGAAGAGCAAAAAAAAAAAAAAAGAAAAAAGAAAAAAAAAAAAAAGGAGAGGAGGAAGCCAGGGGCCAGCCACACAGCCAAGCCAGGCTTGGAGTAAGAAGGAAAGAAAGATATATAGAATAAAGAAAGGTAAAAGCCAAGAGGCAAAACATAGTTAAGTAGAAACAGGATAATTTTAAAAAGCTGCCTAGAAACAAGCCAAGCTAAGCTAAGGCTGGAATAAGTCATGTATTTATCTGGGAGCTGAGTGGCAGGCCTCCAAAAGAGTAGAAAAAACAAACAAACAAACAACATAAAAAACCAACCCAACTACACTTTTGGCTTTTATATGGAGGAAAATCTCAACCTTCTGCTGCAATTGTCTTTAATCATCTCATGTATTTTTAAAATAACTCAAACATACACATTTTACATTTGAGGCTACCTCCCTTTTTTACTTTTTTTGTCAAAGAAATATTTATATCCAGTATCTCTTTAATTCATGTCCATATTTTTAACGTTTGCTATTTAAAAGCTAGAGAAATTTTAGCCTGAACATCCAATTTCCATGTTTTGTGAACTTTAAAGCATGCTAAGATAATTGCATTAGAGCCACCTCTGAAGTTTGCTTGTTGTAGCCTCTCTCCAGAAACTGCAGTTTGGTGGGTTTGGTGTGGGTTCCAGGACTCTGCATTTCTAAGGTTCCCTGGTGACTCTAGGCTATAGCCTTAGCCATATATACACTATGAACCAAATACAGTCCTGATATCAACCCCTCTCTTCTTCCCTCCCTCCCCATCTCCCTTCTCTGACAGGGTCTCATGTAGCTGAGGCTAGACATGGACTCCATTCCCTTCCCTCCACTTTTTTTATTATTAAAAATTTTTATTTTTAAATTTAAATTCAAATTAGAAACAAGGTTTCTTCACATGTCAATCTCACGTCCCTTTCCCTTTCCCTCCCCTCCTCCCACTCCCTCCCACCACCCACCTAATACCCCCTCCTTTCCCCAGGGAGGGTGAGTTCTTCCATGGGGGTGTCCATAGTCTGTCATTTCATCCAGGACTTCCCTCCACTTTCTAAGAATAAAGGCATTACAAACCAGCAATTGTGATAATTTTTCATGTGGATATTGGGAGTTTATAAAAATAGATGGGAAGAAAGTCCTTGTTGTAGATTTACAAGACTCTCAAAGTTAAGTTAGTTTATCTATTGATGAACTCTGTTGGAATAGACATGCAATTATTCTAAAAACAGTAGATCTTTAGATTTTTTGGTGTCCATATCTTCCAATTTTTTTGGAAGTATGCAGACATTTCACAATTAATGAAAAAGGAAGATGTTTTGGCAGTGGCAAGGAAAAGTTCTTACACAATGGAACAATATGTTAAAGCTATTTTTAACATTCTTATTGTGCCATTGATACTACATTGTTTTCACATTATAGGGAAATTCTTCCTAGGACATAATTCAAGACCAGTGGGGTATCCTGCATTCACTCTAAAACATTTTTGCATTGAAGTTGTTAGGTCAAGGTCACCTGTAAAATGATATGTGTTGATTTCATCAGGTCAAGACCATCTTTTGAATATGTTCCCACACTAATAATCAGACTCACAAATAATCATTAACTGAGATACAAGACCTTTGTATAACAATAAGAACAATAAACAAATTAGTTTCTCCTAATATCATTTTTGTGGTAAGAAACTTTAACTGTATTAGTATTTCTACCCTGCATTCTACTCTGGAGTGAGACATCAAATATAATAATCTATTAGAAGTGAGTGAGCTATGTGAGCGAGCTAACAATGAAACTGAATATAAGGGATGGTGTTTCACACAGATACACACTCCAGACAGTGTTGGACCCCATAAGGATGAAGGGAGAAAAGATGGGAATTACAGTAGAGTAGTAAGAAATGATCATTCAGAAAATGTAGTCAGTGAAATAAAGGGCACACTTACAAATACTTGCCTAAGTTACCATATAAATATCCAACTGGAAATAAAGTAAAATTAATAAATAAAAATTCATACCAACACACAGCACAGTAAAATACAAAAGCAGAACAGACCAGCTAATATGGAATGGAAAAAGAAGCATTAGTAGACTCAAAGAAATGCTTTTTCAGTAGCCAGATATTGACAAGTCCTGGGGCTGGCAGTGGTACCAGGACCTATCCCAGGTGCATGAGCTGGTTGTGTGGAGCCTATTTCCTATAGAGGGACACCTTGCTCAGCCTCTGATACATGGGAGACAGGCTTGGTCCTGCTTTAACTTGGTATGCCAGACTTTGTGGACTCCCCAAGGAAGGCCTTACTCCCTCTGAAGAGTGGATCAGGGATAGGGGTAGGGAAGGGGAGGGAGGAGGAACTGGGGTTAGTATGTAAAATGAAAACTAATTTTTTAAATAAGAAAGATATGATAAAATTCTTTCAAATAATGATAAAATAATTAATTTCATGCTGATTTAAGCTGGGTATTGCAGTGCACACCTGTAATCTCTGCACTTGGGAGGTGGGATCCTCTGTAGAAAGACCCACAATTTATGAGTTTTAGGCCAGTTTGGGCTACACAGTAAGAGTTGGTCTCAGAAGAACCAAGGCCTTGCAGGCAGCATGGAGGTAAGCTTGGCATGATTGAGGTCTCACTGTCCCTGGGTGGTAATGGCATATGCCTTTAATTCCAACACTTGGCAGGGACAGGCTGATTTCTGTGAGTTTGCAGCTAGCCTGATCTACAGAATGAGTTCCAGGGCCAGCCAGAGCTACATAGAGAGGCCCTGTCTCAGAAAATACAAAATAAAAAAGAGTACAACTTGTTATATTTACCGTGGTTCTGTGTCATTCAGGACAGACCTGGACAAATCAACCACAGGGAAGAAACTGTGCAGATTGTCTCTCTGTGCTGCATATTTTCTGATAGGGTTGAATTTTCTAATTGCCTACTGTATTTTAACCCTCTTCGCTCAGTCAGAACTGATAGAAGAATTGAGAGCATAAGCCTCCATGTTTATTGCAGAAGACCCTCCACTAGTATCTAATTAAGCACTCATTTAACATATGCCCGAGTGACAGAACACTGCTTAAAGATTAGCATGGTTGAAAAGTTCAAATCAGCCTCAGAGGGTCAATGGATGCTGACCCTCAAGAAGGACTATGGACCCATGTTAGCGTTAGTACAGGTGCATAGTGCCTGACTCTGGATCTTGAGGTAGTTGTGCAGAAAGAAAGGTGTGAAGGAATCTTGGAAATCTGGGTTTTTAGTAAGCTCTGTTTTTCTGCCATGGCCTTGTCATACAACCAGCTGGGAGAAAGCCAATGGATCAGTTCTGGGAGATACTGGGAAGAATCGGGGGTATATTGGGAAGTACTGAGAAGCACTGGGCAGATCAGCACTGGGAGGCACTAGGTCAACACTGGGAAGAACTGGGGAGTACTGGGAAGGACTGGGAAAGCACAGGGAAGGCATGGGAAGCCCTGGGCAGCATTCTTATAAGGGATGTACACTAGACATGAGGTTAACTTAGATTTAGGACAATGTGTTACACCCTGATGAACTTCAGTCTGTTCTCTATGGGGATTCCTTTCTAAGTGACACTCCCAGGGGTCTTTAAGGCTCTTTTAGGCTCAGTGCACTGTGATTCAGGGATTTTTATCTTTCATGACTTCCTGAACTAACCTTTTATGGAGGAGCAGATTCACTATGAAAACAGTTAATTTCAAGAGAAGATGAAACTGCATATGAGGATAATGAAGTTTTCTGTTGTTGGGTACCACTTAGTACACTTCTGTTAGTAAATGTATGTGTCCTCCAAAGGCGACAGATGGGAGCACATGACTCTCCCTGGGCTTTGCAAAGACCAGAGAGTTAGCAGAATGACTTCCAGAACTGATTCTGAAAGGCTTCACTCACCTTGCTTTGCACAGAGGCTTTCATTGACCAGCTTCCCCTCCTTGTTGGTGTCTAATTTCATCCAGCTATCGAGGTATTTACTGATCTTCCTGACCACCACCTTACGGTTTTGTTTCTTGAGAAAGAGAGAGGTATTTTCCACCTCAAGGAAGCCTTCCTGGTCATGGCAGGTCCATCGGGGTGCCTGGGCACAGGGAGTGGAGACTGCAGGTCGGAAAGGACCCCTGGAAGAGTTGGAGATGCCCAGGCACGATCCAGATTTAATATGAAGAAGCTTCCCATCCTCGGTCGACAGCCATTGCTGGTTCTGGCTGGTGCCATCGCATGAGCCCATAATCACTTTCTGATTTACAGAAAGACATTGCTGTTTACGGACATGGACTATCTGGAACCCCTCTGGAAGATGAGAGACTTATGAAGCACCATAGAAGGGCCATTGAATAGCAGAACCACCTGCCCACATGCCAGCCAAATTAAATATACCACATTTACTTATATTCTGGTCTTTCTAGCATTGCAATTGCATAATCTCAGACTTAGCCTATGAGACTTAAAATCCTAAGGCAACCAAACAGCAAATCACCCTACCCCCACGTAACCAACCAACCAATCAACCAAAAACATCCCCCAAACTCAACCAAGAAACCAAGAAATCAACCCTCCCTAGCCAACCAATCAAACCACCACAGAAAAGCAAAAAGCCAGAAACAACAAAAGAATGTCAGAACATTATACAGAGCACTCCACTGTTAAACTCTTGTATGGCTGAGTGAGAACATATTCCCACTGGAAAAATGAAAGAGATCTTGAAGAAGAAACAAAGTCATCCAAGGAATCTGGCTTTTCATTGGATGAGGAATGACAACACACAGAATGATGTATGTGTTATCCAAGTCAATTAAATACAGAACTTGGTACCCTGTAACCATTTGTTCCTCTTCATATCATAGCCCTGCTCCATTATATAAAAGAGAGAGACACCTCCTTCTCAGTCCTTACATGCCCAGAGTAAATAAATATTTGTTTATGAGTTGCATAATCTGAATACATACTTTAAAAACTGGACACATTTATTGCAAGAAAAAGATACAACGGAATTTCCCATCTTTTGAAGCACAATTTGTGGCTGGTAACAAACCATGGAAGTATTGATTACCAGAGGCTATGTTCCTGATGCACTGTGGGTCAGCATCGGTTTTGTGACAGTGCCTATAGTTTCCCACCAAATACCAACACATTAAAAAATCAACATTTCTTAAATACTAAATGCCCAGTTTTTAAAACAATCACATTAAGGAAGCAAAATACTCAGGCTCAGAAATGATTTTCAATGAGTTTTTAACCTCAACTACCTAGCTTTTCCATGGAAATATTCCATCCTTCTGAATGACAACTTCCAAAGAAAACATATTTCTTCACTCTGTTTAGTCATATTCCTTTTGTATATATTTTTTTCTTTAATAGAGAAGAAAGTAAAAGTATAACCTGATTGGAAAAAAATACAGCATAGAGAATGCTGTAAATTGTTACATATAAATGATGAAAGATGATTGCCAAGGCTCCTCACTCTGAGGGCCATCCTTTCAGGGACTGAGCTGTCCCAGGCGCTTGGTAAACACTTATTTTCTTCTGGAGAGAAATCTTAGCAGTGTGGCTGGAGCTGTCTCCTTCCATCCCCCCCTCCCCATCGTCTTTGGCTACACTGCCAAAGGAGATCTGCCTCCAATTCTGCCTTATTTCAGATGCCTCTCAAAAGGCACACAGTTTCCTGGGCTAACACTGAGAGAGACGATGCCTCCGGGAAACTGAGGCAGACCCACTCACCCAAGCTCCCGAGGATCAGGCAGGTTAGGATCGCCATGTAAACTTCAGCCTCCATTTTCCACTTAACAACGGTTCATGCTTCAGTTGGGGGAAAAAATCCTCCCAGATAAGAGAGGCAAAGAGTAGGAAGGAAGTGAGCTTCACGGAGAGGGGAAAAGTCCGTGACACACTTCCTCCAATTGAAATGTTTGGGGGAAGCTTTACACCAGTGTCCTTCTGTCTGTTTCCTTAGAAAGAAGCTATAATGATCATCTCTTTTTCAAATGTAGATCCAACCCCCAGGAGCCAGATTAAACCCCCCCAGAAAGCTTCCCCTGCCATCCCTTTGGCACATGACAAGTTAACTTCAAGATGGAGTAAGAGACTTGTAATGTCAGATAATTGAGTCTTCCTACGCCATGCCTTCTTTTCAGGTGATGTGACTCTGTCCAATATACAAAAGCCATGTGATTTATGGGGTCTGTGACAAGTGATAGAAAGACATAAACATGTCCTGGTTGTATAATGAGATGCTGGTGTCTATGAGGAAAACCACATAATGATGGCACTTTTAGTTCATTATCTCTCCAGTGATTATAAGATTCCCTTTGGAGAGAAGCATCAATACCCTGGAGAAGGAAACAACTAGAATTAACTCCATCACATTACCTACTTCAGTTTACCTACATGATGGCCTTTTTCCAAATGAGGGTAAGAAAAGAATATACTCCACTCAATATTTAGTGTTAAGAGGCATTTATTGGTAGTACGAAACAAATTCAACTTTGCTGCATCAAAAATTCATATATGAGCAGAACATCTCATTTTTGCTGGGTATAGTTATTTTGCCTTCATTTGTCTCTTGAGAAATTAAACCTTTTAGAAATGTAAGGATATGCATGACAGTATCCTTAGAAAGACTTCTGGGAATGAGACAGGTTGCAGCTGCCTCTTATTGGGAGAGAGATTCCAGGTAGACAGCATATTCAAAAATCCCTTCTTAGTAGAAGAGAGAAATGTATTTTAAATTATAGACACTTTATAGTTATTATAAATTTGTTTATCCTTTTTTTAAAGTAAAACAAGTCACACTGTAGAAATATAGTGGTTAGAGTTGTGGAACAGAAGCCACCTCTATGCCTAATAATAGAATATATATACACACACACACATATATGTATATATATATGTATCCAATGACAGCTATTGTGCTCTGTAATTGATCCATAGGAAGTACTATAAATACATATTTAATAGATGTTATCAAGACACATTTCCATATAAAATAGTTACTGCATTTGATTTTTTTTCAAAAACAAAAATGTATTTGTTAAAAATCTGTTATTAATCGCTTGCAACAATAGCAGCAAGATTCTGGTAACTGAGATAGGTAATAGCACTTAAACTGGAACAGTTGAACAGCTGACAGTCCATTCACAAGACAGACTTTATAAACATTAAAACACCTAAACACACGATAGTGACATCTTCAGCAGCTCTTCCTCTCATCACAATGACAGTCACTGAATATTACACACACAGATTCTGTGTGGCAGATAACCAACATGGACAAAACAAAATCCACCTTATGCTGTGTGAGAAATTATCATACCTCCATCAGCATAGGACCTTCAAAGTAATTTAGGGGATGCCTACAAACGCATTCCTATACACAAAGGGTTGGCAATCTCTTATGTTGCCAGATCTTCCACAGTCCATTCCTCGGGTTGGTGCTAAAGCTTCCTCATCCGCTGCAGGGAGCTCCTTCTAGGAGCCTTAAGTAGGTGATTTCATTAATCACCCATGAGATCAACGCTCTGATAAATCTTCATGGAATCACTGGACAGTTTCTGGTGAAAGTCTGCTCTCATACAGGCACAGGGCATGGTGCACAAATTCATACTGCTCGCTGGTTTGAACCATGCCACCCCTGCATGGAAGAGATCAAAAAATAACTCAGTTTTGCTGACACCTGATAACACTGTAACCTAGACATGACACTAGAACTAACGTGTTACACCAAACATGTAGACTAGCTGAATATATATATCACTACCCTTCTTACCTGTGTCTAAATATCCTGGCTGGTGAAGTTTAATATATCAATACAGTCATATACTATGCAGCAATGTCATATCATGATGTGTATTACTTATAGGTCAGTGATAATGATGACAGTGATTCCAACAAGCCCACCTGCTGATAGTTGTAATTACATTCATTCCCTAATAATGCATAATAATAACAAATGACTATTCACTATGCTTCTTAGTGTTATCAAGTTTGTACTTCAATTTTAAAAGTCACCTGGAAAACTGTACTCCATGTTAGGCCAGCAGCCGCTGCATGCATATCATAGCTACTGTACCTCTCAACTGCATTGCTTTTTTTCTTGTGCATTCTTTGGTTTCTGATGGCTTTGAGAGAAGCAGGAAATTCTGTACATATATTGTATCATCTAGGTGTGTGGTAGGCTGTGCTGTCTAGGTTTGTACACATATACTACATAGTGTCCATAACAACAAAGTTGTCTAATGAGACATTTTCCAGAACATCTATCTCTCCATCATTACGCAATACAGGGTATGCACTTTCTCTCTCACCACGCCTCTCTCTATATATGCACACACACACACACACACACACACACACACACACACACACACACACACACGCACACGCACACGGACATGCACAAGCACACGACTCAATATAGCACCATGCACTGTAGGCACCTGATTACTTATTTTAATGTTTTGAGACAGGGTCTCCTATAGCTGAGGCTGGTATTGAATTCACTCACTCTGTGGGTAGTAGAGGATGACCTTGAACCTTCATCCTCCTGCCTCCTGGGAGTGCTTTTACCTATGTACTGTTACCAGATCAGTGACAGAACCTTACAGTTGAGTAATCAGACTCTGGAATGAGTTAGTCCATCTAGATAAAACATCTCCTATGCTCATTTTCACCTGTGCGAAGATTTACACAACTTCCTTAAAAGCATTTGGTCTTAGTCCCCTCTTCTGTTAAAGCAAGACAGTGATAGGTTATGCAGTCATTATGAGCGTTCAACTCTGAGCAGCGGAGTGGGGTTTTCAGAGCCTCATCGTCCATCTTCTGTTAAAATGCATTATGCATTTGGGCTAAACAGGATGGAAGTGGGTTACCAAAGCACAGCTGAGCTGTGATCTATTGCTCTTCCTACAAGTGAAAGATCTACTGTAAAGTGGGTTGTTGAAGACTCTTAGGGCACCAACCAGTCTTTGGGTGGGCTGATCATCTAAACACAATAGTGGGTGGATCCTTCATCTGGCTGGAAACTGGGAATTGGCTCTTGCTTTTCCTCTTTGTTGGAGCCATCATCTTCGTCATCACCAGCTGTTCAGCATCACCCTGCCCCCCCCAATGCCGTAGATTGGTAGAAGGCAGCTGCTTTGTGAGAAAAATCACTACTTTTCATCATACTTTCATAGACACAATACTTTTATCTCATTTTCTCCTAGGGTGATGGTTCTTCAGCTTGCTAAGATTGTCATTTCACTGCATAAGAGTTATCACTATAGTAATTATCTGAACTTCTGTAATCTCCTGGTGACTCATCAGTCACACAACAAATCCTATTTTAGTTTCAGTCTTGGTTTTACCTACTCTTTTTTCTATTGGTAGTAGGCAGATAATTTTCAGATCATGTAGGCAGTTCCAACTTAAAAGCATGATACATTGTTCCCACTGTCATATGACTTCTGGTTACTGACAACTGAAACTAGCCTTGTATATATGTCTGTTAAACTAATATAGTAGTGAGACCACGCCCTCTGAGCTAGACAGTGATTCCTCAGACAGTTTTGATATGGTGCCAAAACCACATATGTGGCAAGAAAAGAGGAGGTGACTTTAGTTTCCAGTGTTAGCAACTTCCTTATCATAGTCTTTTCCAGTAGAACTGTACATTTTGTTTTCCAAGCATGGACTGGTCAGAAGGTGACAATAGAAATGGCAATTGAGGAGTCATTTTCATTTCTTAGTTGTAGTATGACATCTGGGAACATTTAGATAAACATAGCAGGTGTTCAAGAGATGCTAGTCTGAACTGCAAAGCTCAGGAGATGCAGCCACAGTAAACATCAGGGCAGCAGCTGGGCACCAAGAGACACCTCCCTTCCTTTGACATTTTCTCAGAGAATCAATACACTTATGTCAAGCACAGGCTATAAGTGGAAACTCTGAGCACCCTGGGCTCTGGTCTGAGAGCCTCCTGTTACTGTTTACCTCACCTTGAGGCAAGACCTCCACTTTCTTGACTACTCTGTTCAGCAACGACATTTGTGTGTCTGATTGATGGACCAATGGAGTCACAGTTCAGGTCTTACTTATCATTTTACCATTAAGTGGCTCAGCAGTATGTGATCACGGTTGGAACAGATTCGCTGTGAGTAGACTCTATCAAGTATAACAGATGGTGTTAACCAGGTCAAGGTTGCTGCAGCCACGGGAGATGGGGAAGATGGGAAAGATGGGACTATGCAGTGTGCTCTGGCAAAATTCCTGTAGATTTGAAAGCTTCAGGAAGACACAGGCAAAGTGTTGTTATTTCCCATTTCTTTAGGAAAATAAGAACAAAAGAAGTAGCATCAGAGGAGTCCTCAAAGATCAGTCATTGGAATTACTGGCAAAATCTTGTTTCTCTATAGGCCGGGCTGTCAGCCAGCTTCTGGAATGCTCATGGCCAGAGAAACCTTTAGAGGCAGGCTTCCGAAGACATCAAAATGAATTTCTCTCTCTCTCATGTTCTCATCCTATTGGCCAACTGAAATAACCCCAATAGGTCTCAAGATTCCTCTTGTAGTCACACAATAGTTGTCTAAATGATGAAAACAACCATCAAAGTCCCATAATCTTTCTTCTCTAGACTAAACATCCTGTGGTTACTCAACATTTCTGTGTAGCCTGGTTCCCTGCCACTCACAGACAGCCTCACTTCTACAAGCTGTTTTATGAAACAGGACCTTCCTAAGTGCGTTATCTATCCTCAATGGGAGTTTGTCAGCAAGCACCTTTTCTCCCTGAGCTATATACACTATAGACTATTGAGACTACATTTGCAGATACATCAGGAGGTGAGGTCCCTGGGCC